TTCCACGGTTACGGCGGCGCGGGGCAGTGTCACAGGTAAAACAAGGTAGAACTGCAACCTGAAGGGCTGGAGGGCGCAGGCTGCGGGGGACGGGGAAGCGGGGGCCACCCCCCGGGTTCGCAGGGGGACTGGCCCGCCGCGCGTGCCCCTCCTGCGGGCTCTAGTCAGTTCTGCCCCACTGCTCCCGTAGGATGTTGCCGGGTCCTCGGGCGCCCTTCAGCCCCACGAACTGTCCTGCGCTCCCGCATCCTCCCCCTGCCTCTGCCAGCTGCTGACCTCGCTCCTCTCCGTCCTCAAGTCGCCGGCATGCAGCTGTTTGTCCGCGCCCGGGAGCTGCACACTCTTGAAGTGACCGGCCTGGAAACAGTTGCCCAGATCAAGGTAAAGATAATAGTGTAATCCTGAGCGTCCCTAACCCATCGCCCTTTGCCTGTCCTGTGGCTTCCTCACAGAGCATTCTCGACTCTCCCTTTCCTTCCTAGGCCCTCGTAGCCTCCCTGGAGGGCTTCACCACAGAGGATAAGGTCGTGCTTCTGGCAGGTTCTCCCCTGCAGGATGAAGCCACCCTGGGCCAGTGTGGGGTGGAGGCCCTGATGACCCTGGAAGTCGTTGGCCGCATGCTAGGAGGTGAGTGGTCTACAGAGGCCCCAAACTGGTGTAATTCATGATCCTTAGACTAATTTTATTTGCCCTTCACAGTGTCTAACATTTTTAAATTTAACTTACAACTTCTGAAAGTCAGCTGATTTTGTGTTAAAATTCAATGTTTGGCTTTGCTTCAAAAATTGGGGTGATCTGGTGACAGTGGGCCTGTGTTCCCACATACCAACAGTCTGCCATAGCTGAGTAGTGGCTGCCCTCTTTGCAAGGCTCTACAGTTTGCTGTGGTTCTCAAAACCATATCAGTTACCTTGTAGCATGAGGCTTGAGCTGTTGTTTCTTACAGTAAATAAAGGTCAACTCTCTTTTTGCACCTATGTCTGTCAAAAGTGGGAAAACGAAAGATGGATCGAGAGCGTCGCATGTTTCAAGAAAAGTGGGAGCGAGCATATTTCTTTGTGGAAGTAAAGAATAGCCCTATGTGTTTAATATGTAACCAAATTTTGTCTGTGTCAAAAGAATACAACTTAAGGCGACATTATGAAACAAACCATAGTAAGAATTTTGACTGTTATACAGAAAAGATGCGTGATGAAAAACTTAATGAACTAAAAAAAGGTCTAAGCTGTCTACACCATTTATCATCGAATACAAACAAAATAAACGATGCTGCTGTGAAATGCAGTTATGTAATAAGTGAAAAAATTGCCCGGGCATCAAAACCTTTTACAGATGGTGAGTTTATAAAAGACTGTCTGCTAAGTGCAGTGGAAATCCTGTGTCCTGAACAGAAACAAGCATTTGCAAACATAAGTCTAACTGGAAACTCTGTTGCTCAGCGAGTAAAAGACATGGCTGAAAACTTGCAAGACAAGTTACGAGAAAAAGTGAAGTCCTTCGTGAGGTTTTCTATTGCAGTTGATGAGAGTACATATATAAATAACACAAGCCAGTTGATTATATTTATCCGGGGTGTTGATGAGAATTTTGACATCACTGAAGAACTTTTAGACATGGTACCCATGACAGACTCAACATCTGAAAATGACTTATTTTTGAAGGTTGAGAAAAGTCTCGAAAAGTTTAACGTTGACTGGTCAAAATTGGTAAGTGTGACCACAGATGGTGCTCCTGCAATGGTCTGTGATAACATCGGACTTGTTGCAAAACTTAAATCCAAGGTCAAAATGTTCTGCAGGGATGCAGAGCTTAAATCCATTCACTGTGTTATTCACCAGGAATTGTTTTGTACTAAGAAGTTAAAACTAGAACATGTCATGGATGTAGTGATTAACACAGTGAACTGGATACGCTTCCGGGGCTCCAACCACAGACAGTTCAGTGCCTTGCTTGAGGAATTGGATGCACAATACGGTAACCTCCTTTACTATACGAAGGTAAGGTGGCTTAGTCGTGGCATGGTACTGAAGAGATTTTTTGAATTGAGAAAAGAGATAGATATGTTCATGTCATCCAAGGGCAAATCCCTTCCCCAGCTCACCAGTGAAGATTGGATCAGAGACCTGGCCTTTTTGGTTGACATTACAAATCACCTAAACTCTTTGAATATTTCTCTGCAAACACGTTCACAGGTAGTTACACAAATGTATGATTCCGTTTGCTCTTTCCTAGCAAAATTGAGTCTTTGGGAAACTCATTTGGCAGTAAATAACCTGGCTTACTTTCCTACACTGAAATCAGTTTCCAGAAATGAAAGTGATGGCTTAATCTACATCCCCAGAATTGTAGAGTTGAAGATTGAATTCCAAAAAAGGTTCTCTGATTTCAAACATTATGAAAATGAACTGGCATTGTTTAGCTCACCTTTCTCGGTTAACATTGATAGTGTTAATGAGGAATTACAAATGGAAGTTATTGAGCTGCAGTGTAATACGGTACTGAAAACTAAATACGACGACATTGGAATACCAGAATTCTATAAATACCTCAGCAAGAGCTACCCTAGGTATAGAAACCATTGTGCAAAGATTCTGTCCATGTTTGGAAGCACCTATGTCTGTGAGCAGTTGTTTTCTGTTATGAAATTGAGTAAAACTAACTTTCGTTCCCAGTTAAAGGATACAGGATTGAATTCAATTCTACACATTGCAACTCGAAATATGAGACCAGACATTGACATCTTGGTGCAGAAAAAAAGGTGTCAGGTTTCTGGTTCTAAGTCAAAGGAGTAAGAGATTATGAAAGAAGATTTTAATAATTAAAGATTTCTATTTTTCAATGTATATTTTTAAATTTTATCTTTGAAATATCCAGTATTATAAATTTTGTATGTTTTTTGTTTGCACTGTGGTTCAATAAAAACATTAAGTTTAGATGGTTTTTCCTTGGCATTTGAGTGTTTCGTACACTTGGCCTATTGTCCGTGTCTGTAACCTACTTGGCTACCCACCTAGTTTGCGACTGCTGCCTAATGGACTTAGTTACTATAACTAGTTTTTATGTTTTTCTACTGGTCTCAAGCCAGGGAAAAACTATCACTTGCTGCCCTGAGCTGTAGAATGTCTGTGGATGTTTGAGCCAGGTTGTATCATTTATCAATTTCTTGCCTCTCAGCTCCATATTCACCCTTTAATGTCTGCTTTCCAATAATGGATCGGGGCCCTGTAAATATTTTTCCTTTGGCAGCAAGTATGGTATTAGGCTTTGTCAGTAGAGGGCGCTAGAGACATTGCAAAAGAATGGTGTTTTCATTTCTGGCTTGCTCCCTTGGCAGTCTCCTGCAGTGCGGGTGGCTTCTTCAGCAACAGGCTCCTACAGTGCAGAGCAGTCAGCAGTACCAGAACCAGCCACTTCCCCTGCTTCCCCTCTCAGGCAGTAATGTAATGCAGTCCTGCTCAAACATTTCCCCATGAGCAGCCTCCCTCATACCCTAGAGGACAGATTTCCAGCAAATTCTGACAGTGTGCCATTGCAGCAATGTCCCTGCTATTCCTTAGGAGTGGACTGTGCCCTGTCCAACAAGGTCAGGATTTTAGCCCTGCTGTGAGGAGCCTCTTCCTTGAGCACCTACTTTAGCCCTTGGGGTAGTAGCTGTTCCTTATATCTGCTATTTCTTTAGAATTCTCCTTACTCTTGTTGTAGTTAACAATTCTTTATTTTATTTTTTTAAATATATTTTTTAACTTATTTCAAAGAGAGGGGGAGAGAGAGAGAAACATCAATGATGAGAGTCACTGATCGGCTGCCTTCTACACACCCCCACCAGTGATCAAACCTGCAACCCAGGCATGTGCCCCGACCCAGAATCGAACTGTGACCTCCTGGTTCATGGGTCAACGCTCAACCGCTGAGCCACTCCAGATGGGCAACAATTCTTTATTTTAAATCTTCCCTGTTCAAATTATTGTATGGTTCCTCTCCCCTGATTGGACCTTGACTGATGCAGGCCTTATTTCTTATCTGTCTTTGGGTTCTGGGCAACAAAGAAGACAGATGTCCACATAAACAGGCATCAAAAGGAGACTGTTGGCCAAGATCAATTAACATATAATAAATCTGAAAAGTCATGGGTCCATTTTGAACTACAAAAAGAGAAAACATTAACATAATGTATCCTGAAAGAGGAGATTGAAACGGAATGTATTCTTCTTGAATCTTACCATTAAATCATTAAGTATTATTGATTCATTTATTGTATGGAACTGTAGATGAAATAAATGTAAAATACATTAAATTTCCACTTCCAGCAAAGATGGGGCAACAGGGACAGGATTTACCATGCCACCTCAAACAAATAGAAAACCAGACAAAATATAAGAAACAGCAGTTTTTAAGATGTTGATCATCAGGCACTGAAGGACTGAACTGTGAGAAGCAGGAAAAAAAAGAAGGTGAGCCCTAGAATTCTCCAAACTTGCTGGAGAAAATTTTCAAGGCACAGGGTACAGTAAGGGGGAACCCAGGCAGAGGGAGCTGGGAGACCAAAGTGGCAAAAGCTCACAGGGCAGAGAATCAGAAAGGAACTTCAAAGATCTACAGAGGGTCTCCCTTGGGTCTTCAGGTGACTCCTGATCAATGCACGAATGTATGAAAACTATCTGAAGCCAGGAAAAAAGCCACCAAAGGGATAAGAAGGAAAAATTCTCAGATCACATAGGACTGGGATCCCACTAGTGAGAGTGGAAAAGCAGCCAAAGAAAAGAGACGTTACATAAAAAGGGTTAAAGATAAGGGCGACAGCAGTGCAAGACAGAGACTGCTTCCGGGATGCAGTTTTGTAGTTTGGAAACAGTTTTTTCCTTTTGGATCTTGCTTTTCAGCTTTCTTTGGCAAGACCAGGGAAGATTTTAATCTAGAGCTAATGCTAATTTTGCCTGCTACCTGGGCAAAACCCTTCTGAGTATTTTACCTGATCCCCTGTGATTCTTAATAGTACTGGTAGAAAGAAAAAAACCTGTCAACCTACTGTTCTGTGTACAGCAAAAATATATTTCAAAAACAAAGGCAAAATAAAGACTTTTTCATACATACAAATGCTAAAGAATGTATCTCCAGCAGACCCACACTACAATAATATTAAAGGAAGTCCTTCAGATAGACGGGAAATGACATAAATTGGAAATGAGGATAGACAAACAGGAATAAAGAATACCAGAAATGACAGCTATATGGATAAGTGTAAAAGGCTTTAGAAGATAATTGACTATTTAAGGCAAAACAATGTACAGCAGGTCCTCAAATGACATCATCTTCTTTTTTTTTTTTTTTAATATATCTTTATTGATTTCAGAGAGAGGAAGGGGGAGGGAGAGAGAGGGATAGAAACATCAATGATGAGAGAGTCATGGATCGGCTGCCTCCTGCACGCCCCCAACCAGGGTTCGAGCCCGGACCCGGGCATGTGCCCTGACTGGGAATCAAACCGCCATCGCCTGGATCTTAGGTTGATGCTCAACAGCTGAGCCACGCCTGGCTGGATGACATCATCTTGTTATAATGTTAATGAGGGAAAAAAATTGATTCCTGGCCAAGGCCACTGCCCTCCTGTGACCAGGAAGCAGACCCAGTGGAGGAGTCCATGCTCCAGGGCCCCACAGGAGGCCATAAAATTACATATGTAGAGTCTCTAATTGAAAACAGCCAACTCCCGGTCACTCCTGGCCATAGGTGACTTTGTCTCCCAATAACATATGGGGCTGGAAGGATCCAGGGACCTGGAAGAGCTCAGCAGAGCTCAGCGGGAAAATGGAAGAGCACTAGAACCAGAGACACCATGCAAACATGAGGCACAGGAGCCAGAGCAAGATGCAGAAAGAAGGCCTCTGTCAGCCACACACTAGGTCCATGTACTGTAAGCCCCCTGTTACTGAGCATGGGAAACAAGTCAGGGTCATACTGTTCTCATCTTTGAGTTGGGGCTAAGTTTGGCCTTCCCTCCTGCTTCAGCCCGTTTCCTGAACTCTCACTAAACTTCAACACCCAGACTCCTGGGGCCTGTCTCTTTCCTTGTCCTCTCTGATCCCTTGACTGTCACATCCCCTTTGCATTTCTTCTGGCCTGGTCTGTTTTGCTTTGACCTTCTTGACACAGGCCTTTCCCTTCCAGTTTCGTGGTGATCTGATGAGCCTAATATTTGGATAACTCTGAAATACCTCCCAGGAACCTCTTGTGAAACCCTGTGGTCCCTCATGGTTGTAGCATTCCACAGCATGAGAAAATCACAGTAAGCTGTCCATTTTTTAATACTTGTTAAACCAGTTTAACATGCATTTCCTGTTTATTATGTACACTACAAACCAGTTCATCCAAGGCCTGAGAAGGCAGCCAGAGGGTAGCAGAGCCTCGAGGTGGAGAGTTGTGGCTTACAAGGGGCCACCTTGGCCAGAGGCCTAGACCACCTCTGTGTTTTAACTTACATGATACAATAAACACCTCCTTTTTGGGAAGAGTGGGAGTTTCAGGTGAAATAGGAGGAGGTCTGGTAGACCTAGGCCTTGACCTTGCATGCCATGCTGCCATGTCTGAGCAGGGGACTCTGACAAGTAATGATGGGATTTAGGCCTGTCTCTTGAGGGTAAAAATAAAAAACAAACATAGACCTAACCTGACTCTGCAGAGCAGCAAAACTGAAATCTAGATGGGCTATTTTCACTTCCTCACAGGGGTACCCTGAGCCAGGCCTGGCCCTCTCTGTGCCTCTGTTTCCAAGGGCTATGGAGAGGC